ATAATCTTACGCCACCCTTGCACAAAACGACGATAATTGTTCTAATTTCATAGACAACAGAAGACTGTATTTTTTCTACATAACCCCCCCCCCCCTGAATTTAAAGCTGGATCCGCCCCTGAATGGGCTCTGAATATTGGCAAGCACAAAACTCTCAAACTTGCACATACTTCCGCTAGTTACTCTGTAACTCGGTCAGTTATCAAAATTTTTCAGAAATTCCAAAACTCGTTAAAAGCCCACAGACTTGGCGTAAAATGCCGTTTCAGGGCCAAAGTTCATTTTGGTCTCCGTTTTAGCGCCAGTGGAGTTTCAAAAGTTTCAAACTTTCAAAGATCTGAAGCTCTGGTTGTTCCTGGAAGCACGCTCTTCTGCTACATGTTTTTCTTTAACCCCAAAATGTATTTTTAGGAGCAACTCCATAGTTAGTAAAAAAAATTGCAATTAATTTTTTTTTGAAAAATGTTGAACATTTTTGAGTTTTTTCAAAATCGCAAATGTGCAAATTTTTCGGTTAAGGGTCGAATTTAGACCAAAATTCCACTTTTCATTGACATGGGTTTCTCATATAGTTTCGGTGAAAAGGAATTTGGAGTTAGAGAGCCTTAAACTGCCACCCACATTGTTTGCACACTGATTCGCCCGCCCATAACTCCGCAACTTTTGGAAATATTTCGAAAAGCAAAAATGCCCTGCAATGCCACGGGTATTCGCCAGAGTTCAGCTGCCTCTAAAAAAATCGGCATTGCCATCGGTTTGGGAGATAATGAACGCTAAATGTTGGCAACCGTTCAACTATTGCATTTGCCCGTACCTCCACTCTTTTGCCCGTAACGGCATCAAATCGCAAGATATTTAAAAAATTCCAAAACGCCCAAAAATCCCAAAGAAGTAGCTGTTAAAACTATTGCAACCTCAAGTTGGATATTGGCAACAACAAGGGAGGAAAACGAGTTCAAACTCAGAGTGACACTCAAGTGTCTTTCTTTGTGTGTATGAGTATGTCGAAAGCCTTTGGCAGATCAACAGCTAAAAATCATTTTTTCCATAACTGATTCTGATGCTTCTATTAACGCCTTGTTCTGCATCGTGGCCTTAGCAAATTAATTTCAAAAAACCATCCCGAACTAATCCATAAAACCTGGGAAAGCCACTGCACCAAAAAAGAAAAAGGTAAACCAAATGGAGAGTCAGCTCATGGGCAATAGCGCAATTCCAGCTATCGATCCAGACCTGTTAAATTGCTGCAACGGTAGTCGTAACAAGCAAGAAAAGAACAAGGGAATCGGACATTTCGGGGTGGCAAAACAGCGCTCGCAATCAACACTAGGATTAAGCAATTAAGGCCGCTCTTATGGAAACATTGAGGCGATTTGGGATAATTAATTACTAGTCGGGTTTTCTTATCTGGTCTGTGATTGATGGCGAGGAAATGAGGTTGTTRCTGGGTCGTTTTTGGCATTTGGCGAAAGCTTCATTACAGCGCCAACAAGTTGCTGAGGGCGATTTTATCTACTCATTTCCATTTTCTGRCTCTTGTTTAGTGTCCGGATAGTGAATTGTTTTTGGCTGTTAAAGTTGATTTTCRCTGCAGATTTTTCAATGTTCACGGTTCAGCTCGACGACTGCTTTTACTGCTTGCTTCAAGCATTTGTTCCTTACTTTTGTTGGCCGCCGCCGAATTTTCGTTGTCTAATTTATTGATTTAAACTCTGCCCTCCGGGCTCTTSAGTTCTTCAGTCCGCGTATTTTCAGATTGAATGTTCTGGCGCTTTAGTTCGCAAATSATTCGGTTWAMATTTTTTYATTGGTGCTTTAAATAGGCCTGSTGYTMWAGAGTGTTTAMAGAGAAAAAACRGTTTATTGATTTTTCARATCGGAAATTTCRGTCTWTCASGACTGACTGCTYTWCGTTGAAAAAATCGAATWTCTGCATACATTTTWTTAATGAAAAGTWGATTTTTCCAATATCTTAASGAAATCTTTMAAGASGGACTSCAATAGAAATCAATTTCAATCTCAGTCTATWWTTATTAAAATTCCTAAMATTTGGCATAAATAATTTTGATGATACCGCAAATGCAGAACTTGRGATTATAGAATTCACTCTCTTCSATTGRGKGCAAAAATYAGCATCAAAATCCGCACAAAAGACCCATTAAATACAGTTTTATTTTAGTGTATTCAGGATAATAAAGAGCAAAGTAAAATGAAAAATGTTCTGAATTCGACAGCAAAAATGAATTCTCGAACATAAAGTCAAGGGTAAAATGTGGCAACTAGCGCCTGAATAAAATTTCGTTTCAGGCAGTTTCGTTTTAGCAGTGATGCAAATTTATCAAAATTATTAATTATTTTCCTCTTTAAATAAAATTTGAAGGCTGAAAATTGMGAAAATTATTAATTTTATTATTAAAAAAACACACTTTTTGGTACGTTATTTAGAAAAGGTCTCTATGAMAGCTCAAATATATTTGAGCGTTTCGAATGGTTTCGSTTTGAAGATACTTATTTTTRATCACCTCTTTCTAASKGCTTCAYAGATTTACATGTTAAAAAACTAGACGTAAAAAAATGTTTYAGTGTGGTTAAAAAYCACAGATTAACTGTCTWAAATGGGAACTTTGAGATAAAAATTGCTGGTTTGTGTCCTGGTTTACAAAACTTAGCGGTCACTTTGCGTTCACCACTGRCGAATTTCGGTCAAAAGTAGGCAACTATTTGCGCTTTTATGGACCCCGCAAAAGCGCAAAAAAGTTCCAAAGGCAACAGCGTAGTTAAGTTAATTTTAAAATATGCCTATTGTTATGTAGAATAAAAAATTCGTGCATGGTGCATCGATGCATGTATTTTTTTTTGCTTAGAGACTCACTTGAAGACGAAGCGCTTCCAAACTTGAAAGAGTTTTTTTCTGATAAAAAGGTAGTAGTAAAAAAGTAGTAGAAAAACCTTTTTTATGAGAATAAAATTGGAAGTTTGGGGTACTCTTGGTGACGCTCCATTTGAATTTCGCCCGTTCTTAAAGTCCTCTAAACGGATTCTGAAATCGACTTTTGTGCCAAATATCCCCAAAATTATTACTTTGTTGTTGAAAAACAGTTTGGATACTTAATCCAAAGCCACTGCATTTACAATAAGCAGATAAATTGGGATATTTTTGTAAAATCCTGTGAATACAACAGTAGGATTCTTTCAGATACTATAAATTTTTTTCTTGATTGCCCCAATGAGAAAAATGTAAGTATTTTATTATAAATATTATGGCAGAAACAGTGTTTTTTGGCGCATAAAAATCACGTAGATTTTCATCACTGGTAAACTTGCCATTAAATTGATTTTCTTAACCCGAAAGTTAATAGCAAGTTTTCTTTGATCGCTCATCAAAATATGTCGAAAGGCTTAATTATTTGCAGATTTTTTGAGTTTCTATTTATTTTTTTTATTTGAGTTTATGGAAGTTTGAGATTTGTAGTTAAAATAAATAGAAAAATACACTTTTTGACACCGATTGGACGATTTAGAACTTTGAAACACACTTTAAAAGCTCTTTGAGGAAGAACATTTTTAAAGCGGGCAAAACTGTGCGCTCAAGACACAGTTTTGATCGCATTCTATAAAGAGTCTTACTTGCTCTGTTTTACTGTTTTATATAATGGACTTAAACAATTTTAGAGTTTTTTTAGGGGGCAAAGCTCTGGTAAATCTGAAGAGTTTCTGACGCTCTAAAGGCGTTAATCGTTAATCGAAAAAACGTGAAGCTCATTCCGAATTGAAAGTTCCCCCTTTTAAGGGCCGGCGCCCCGATTGGAGTCTCCAATTTGTCAACTCATCTAAAAAGATTCTGAATTCGATTTCCCAATTTAATCAAGAACCATCGACTTTTTAACTGTCAACGCAGAAATTGGAAGCTTTTAAAAAGCATGAACTTATATTTTCAAATAAAAACATCGCTTGAGACACTTGACCCACATTTGAACGGTTTGCTTTCCTCTCTTGATAGACTCGTAAATTTATGGCACTAAAGCGTGGTTTAATAGATCAGGGAAACGTATTTTTCCAAGGATTCCGGGCTTTGTTAAAAAAAGCCGATGCCAAACCCTATAAAGCATTTGAGTGCCCAACCTGAAAGGGTCTTTTCCACGCTTCCATGCATCACGTCAAAAGAATTCCTTCGGAAACATTAGGGAGTGTTCTTCAAAACGAATCAATTCATAGAAGGGCTTTCGCCTTGCCTATAAAGGGTCTGGATAACTCCAGAAAGTGAAAAATCTGAAAAGGCCTAAACTTGACGGAAAATATTCAAGGATTTAATGGGTGAAATTAATTGAAACCTGCCTTATGTTGCCTGCATCTGGGCGAAGATTCAAGGTTCTACTCTATATAACTTCGAGAATTGTACTTACTTGTTAATCCAAATATATTGAGCAGGAATATTGCTGAAGCCACAAAGAACATATTAAATTGACCCCTGCGAAGCTGCCGACATGACGATGGCGATTTCCCAACATTCAGGCAAACCACAAGCAGTCGTATGACTGCCTAAACATTACCCAAATGTTTCTGAAACAATTTAAGAAAAAAACCTTATCAAAACTGGAGCTTTTCTGCAAAAGAATCCGAAATAGAATGCAATCCAGGCAACGCAAGCAGCTGAGCCATGTTAGATTTGTTTATTATTAATATCTAAGCCTTTGAGCGTACGAAAATAGCTGCAGAAGTTCCTGGATGCGCTTGATAGCAGGAACTGTTTACATCTGGATCGTAATGGTCAAATTGGTTTAATTACAGGGTTTATGCTCGATTTGCTGCGTTCTAATTAAAGCTGACTTGCTTTCGGTTTTCACAAGGTTTTATGCGATTTAAATTTTTATTGATCGATTCTAGCATGACATTTTTTAAGTTTTCCAAGGATTTTTCCAAAAAAGGGATGCTTTTTTGGGCTTTTAACGTGTTTGAAAATTGACTTCAGAAACTCGAAATCAATCAACTTCCAAGAAATTAACTTAAATTATCGAATTGCCCGCATGTGTTAACTTCCTGGACCAAAAGTGCACAAGTCACAGTAGTAATTTTCCTCGAAAGCTCTTAAAGTCTTCATGTGCCGTAGAAAAGCTCGGGCTTAAAGCTGGATCAAGCCTGGGGCGCAGTTGGGAGCTCATAAAAGATGCTGTTGCTTCATCTAATTTGAACGTAAAAACATACTAAAATAGATAACAATTTTCTAATGAAAATAAGCAAACTTGGAGCAGGAAAAGCGGCGATTCTCTCATAGGAAATTTGACGCAACCGAGGTGTTTTATGGGTCATCATTAAAGCATAAATATGCAAGAGTGTCAACCTCGATTGAATTGGTGCCAATGAAATAGGCAATACTTCGGTTCATTAAAATTTTATTTAAAATATTATGAGCTTTATTTACGCAAGTTTTAGAAAATTGTTTGTTTGGGAAATTGTTTCTTGGTTTTCTTTTTTAGATTTTAATTAACATTAATTAATTAAACACAGTAGTTTGTTCAAATTTCTCATTTAATGGCTCGGAATAAAAGCTGGAAGGTGGAGCTAGCTTCTGAAGAATAAATTCTTTGGAGTTTTTTATGCGAAAAGTGGGTCATTTGGGGCTCAAACATCAGCGTACTTAGCGATTTTTCCGATTTACAGAAGCATGAACGTTCAGACAAAATCCTTAAAAAACTCTTCACGAGTTGAATCAGGCTTCAAATAAATGTTTTAAAGTTGGGGGAAAAAATTCAATATTTTGATCAAAAGAGTCTTTCGCGGCCGTTATTTGAAACTTGAGGAAAAAGAATTGGACAGAAAATGATTTTCCACGGCGGCTGAAAAACTTAAAATCACAGTGAAACTGTTGAGTTTTTCGGGCTGCTATGCCAAAAGTCGCGCCCTTTCTGCATAAAAAGCTGTGAAGTTTCCAATTCCAATCGCCTTTTTAATTTTAAATTCATCAAAATTTTCAATTTAAGGGTAAAAAGAAGCTGGCTGTTTTTGGACTTCTACGCAGCAGTGGAAAATATTTTCTATGTGAGGTTTGGCAAGAACAAGTGCTTTGCATCTTCAGAGATGGGTTGCCCTTGTGTTTTTCTTCCTTAATTTGATGATGAGAGATGAAGACATCTCTCATCAGAAACTTGAATTTAAAGAGGAAAAATCCTCAAAAAACTACATCTTTTTATGCAGAAAGTGTGCGATTTTTAGGGTTTAAAAATCTGCTCAGTCATTGATTTTTCCAAAGCCACCAAATGGTAAAAACATGAATTTAGGTGTATTTCAAATAATTTAAAACGATTTTCGCGATTCCATGCAAAACATTTTAATCCTGCATACAAACTGTTAACAATAAGGAATACAGTAACAGCTAGCTACTAAAAAGAAATAAAAAAATATTTCAAACGTGCCATTAGAGACAGGAAAAAGCAAAAATATTTGATAATAAGAAACGATTCTTAATGAAATTTGACAAAAAAACGCCCATTTGCCACGCAATTCAACGCCCTGCAGTTATTTCAAATATAAACAAACCTTAAAAATTCAGTGCTAATTAATCAGTTTCAACCTACCGCTGTATCGTGAAAGAAACGTTTCGAATAATCCGGGAATTGATTATTTCGCTATTACAGCGCAGCAATCAACCGTCTCAAAATAGGAACTTTGATGGCCTGATGAAAAACAAGCGGGTCGCTCCCGTAACTGAGCAGCTTCAGAGAACCGTTGCTGACTGAACGTTTCGCTTACACGACGCTGCAGACGTCGCGAGTGAACTGAGCGAACAAGCTGATCTTGTAGCTGGCGACGCCGACGCCATGCCATCAATTCAAACTCAACTTTTGGGGATTTTGGCGTCAGCACTGGCAAAAGATCCAGGTAGCTGGCACACACATGTAAAATTCCCGACCAAGAGCTGATTCGGTATGTCAATTGTTCCGGTATTGATTGCTCTGGCTAATTAGCATCCCAGATAATTCGTGTTTT